CGCACTGTTGTGCAAATCTGAAGGCCACATGAAGACTGTAATGTCTAACAAGCAGAGCCTTCTGATTGCTCCTGTATGGAATTATATTGTAACTGTACTGTCTGCCGTCATTTTGTAAAGTGCTGAGCAAACTGTTGGCGCTATATAAATCCTGTATAATAATAAATCTATCTACCTACATGGTGTCTTTATCTGCATACAGATAGAGGCACATTAACACTTTCTTGAACCAGCCCCGTTTTGATGTAAATCTATCTCTTCCTCTAGAAGGAATCTGCAGACTGAGGGACCTAGAAGAAGAAGAAGGAAAAAAAAAAAAAAAAAAAAAAAAAAAAACACACCACATAGGACTTATGACAGGGTAAGGCCGCCAGTATTCACACCCTACGAGTGGAAATGAAGGCAACCTCCAACATAACATAAGTATGGGAATATCCCTAACACTCTCAAAAGGAGGCTTCCGAAGGACTGAAAGAAACAAGGTCAGGTGCTATTGTGTCAACGGCGATTCTACAGAAGGCTAACTCCTTGGTGATAGTACAAATTCAAGGACAGCGAGTCCAAAGGTCACAGAAAGAAGATCACCAGGGCGGAAACCTGACCCTTAATGGTCAAAAGGCAGCCCTTGTGCAACACCCCATTAGAAAAGGCCAAAACTCAAGCCACTGGATGAACACTCAAAGCTGCACACCAGACAATATAGACATTTCAGGTACGCTGATAACTCTTCTGAGAGGATAACCCTCATGCAGGCAACATAGTTGGGATCACCGAATGCGAAAACCCCCGACTCACAATACCAAGCTGTTAAATAGTCATGCTGTCAAAGCCAGAGATAACAAGAAGGGTGGAGGAACGGGTTGTTGTTATCAGAGATCCTCCGAGCCACCAGGGGGCCATCACGACTAGCTAGCCACAAAACTGACTGGAATCCATTTGGCCTCCTTTGTGCATGGCTGAAGAGGAAGGAACTTTAGACAATACTGACCCCACACCATCACCAACACACCTTTCACATGCGTCAGGGGACCCCTCGCTCTTGCCACAAACCTGGGCACCGTCCTGTGAAGGTGAGGCATCAGAAGATCCAAATCCAAGGAGCCCCATCGAAGACAGATTGGATGGGTCATGGCCAGGTGTAGGACCCCTGTGACGGACAGCAGAAATATTTTATTTTTGTGTTGTTTTGTTGAACTCTACACGTGTGGCCAACAGTCAGCCTGTCTGCTCTTTGAAGCTAGGAGGTCATGTGCCCCGCAGGTGGTAGGAAATGAGGTTTATCTTGGCTGAGGACCCAACCTGGACTTAATCCTTGCCCGCCCGAGTTCTGCCGCCCTGTTGTGTGCCACTAGGATTTAAAACATTGTCTGCCAGTCTGCGTTCTGTGTGCATGGATTTAACCCTTCCCTGCCAGAGTCTGCCTTCTGCTGTGTGCCCCTGGACTCAACCCTTGCTATACCTATCGTGCGCCCTCCAAATCACTCAATAAAAGCCTTGTGTGCCCCACTGCTCTCCACGTGTGTTCTGTCCCACCTACATCTCCTTCACAACCCCTCTCCCCGATCCAGCGTCAGATGACAGAGATTGCCCATTCCCAATACCTGGGATGTACATGTTGGAGAGAGTCGGTACATGAAGGTCAACTCACAGCGGGATACGCGAGACCTCTAGCACCACTGATGCACTCCTCGTACTGTCCCAGAGATTATACTGGTCAGCACAGTGACATTTGTCAGATCAGAATCTGACTGGGCATTTTCTGAGAACCCTTGAGCCAGACTCAGCCCGATCGCAGATAACTCTAGGACACAGATGGGCAGCTGAGCCACCTACAGCATCCAACAAACCCGCCCCAGCCAAACAGGATGGCATCTGTTGTGACTACAATTCAGTGGAGGGAAAGAAGGAACTTCTCTATCTGCATGGAAGGAGACCAAAGCCACCTGAAGAGAGAGACCCTTGCAAACAGACCTAGACAAATGTCATTGACTAGGGAAGCTGGAGAGTTGTCACATTGGCTAGGAAATCACTGAACTGTTGCATGAAGCTGCGTATATGGGACCATCTCGAAGGGGAGGCAACATAAGACCCAGGACCTGTATGCAAGAACGCAGGAAGACTGTCTATCAGACAACAGGGCAGCCGTCTGAGCGGCTAGAGCGCGTCCATTGGGAGAAGCCCTTAGGCCGATGCCAAGTTGAGAACAGACCCAGATATTCCCACCTTGCGGACAGTTTTGAAATCAGGACCCATCCAAATTCCTTCAGAGTGCCTTTTGATCAACACTAGTCCATCAGAGCAGAGCAAGTCAAAGCTAGCAGGGGAGAGTCATCCAGGTAGCCAGTCAGGTGATCCCATCTCAGCAACGCTAGTACCGAGGCCAACACCTAGGCAAAGCCAAAAGAGAAGTGCCACAACTGACAATGTGCATCCCAATCGCAAAAAGAAAGAAGCATTGACACCTAGCCCAGACTGGGATGTGCAGGTATGCATTTTTAATGCCTATGGAGGGCAGAAGCTCAGCCTGTTGAAGAGTGGTCACCACAGAATGGGTGAATTCCATCTTGAACTTCTGCATCCATAAAAAAGGCATGCAGGGCCTGGAGGCCTAGGATCACAATTAAAACAGTAAACAGGTTGGAGTAAAAACCCCTGAAACTGCTACAGCTCTGGGACAATCATTCCCTGGAATATATGGTCCACCATAGGAGGAGAGCCATAAATTCAGAAGGGCCTCCGCAAAAGGGCAACGTAACGAAAAAAAGCTGCAGAACCAAGAAAGAGGGTTGCGGTCATGCCCCTTTTTTAAACAAATATTTCAGATGAGTGGGATAAGAAAAGAAACCTTAGCCTCTTAGTGGACCTACGGGTACCAAAGAAAATGGCCATTTTACCGGTAGCCCCTGAGGAATCCGCACTTATGAACATTCCCCACAGCAAGGTGAAAAGTGCAGTCACCACCAAACATGAAATGTGTGTGTGTGGGGGAGTGAAATTACTATAGCAGCATTAGGAAATCCTAATAGTACCTTGAGACTACTGGATACAAAAAGGCGGACAACCCAGTGCCTAATTTTCCCATGCAAGTTGCCAGCCGGGAAGCCTCAACAGCGCCTGCATATTGAAACACAGCCCTCACAACCAACTACAGTAGTGACAGGCAGCCATAGGCTGGAGACAGGGTCCTATCAGCTCATGCTGCCACTAGGACTTGGAATTCCTCAGGCCAATTTTTTTTTTTTTTTTTTGCTTCTTTGTTAGCAGCCGACCTCTGGAGAAGCAGCTGCAGTGCGGTCAGTTCCATGCATCACCGCAGGGGAGACCATCTCCACATGCAGCAGCCAACAAACTCCAACTCCCCCCACAAGGAGCAGGACACACGGGGCGGGAGAGGAGTGAATGCCCCCAGGCAAAGAGACAGTTGCTACTAGCACCGCCAGGCTCACCGTGATGAGCCCAGTGCCCACCATCCGGGGGTGGGCACTGGGCTCACCACCAACACAGGAATGCAGAAAGTGTGCCTGTCCAAAGGCAAAATGGCGGTGCTGCAGCCAGTCCTGGAGGCCGCAAAACCACAACCTATAATTACAGAGACCACAACTGCATGGTGAGTGTACCAGCGGGACGGCCCAAAAGCAATGTCCTGCAGCAAGGAGGGAGGCCGAGAGCACCCCCCATCAAGCATTCAAAGTGGTAGGAGACAATATCTGCCTTTGCATAGTACCTGCAAGGCTCTGGATTACCAAATGAACCCGGGAAGAGGGGAGGAATATGCCCATACAGCAGCATACCAGGGGGTCGCCTGTCTGAGAGCAAAGACCCGGCCAACAGCAAGGAAGACAGCACACAGGCACATGCAGGTCAGCATCTAAGCAGGCACACCTCCTGAAACCCAGAGCCAGGGGAAACTAAAGGAGCAGGGTACCCAACCCCATGCTAAATTGCCCCAGAGGGTAAGGGGGGAAGCAGGAGAGACAGACAATGGAGGGGGGACCCAAGGAGTACCCGGGCATTTCTACTTACCGATCCACTGGAGTGTGTGGGTAAGGGTCCCATGACTATAGGCGTCCAGTCATGTGTGTCCCTGCTAAACATTTAACTAGCTGCCTGCCCCCTTTGGTCCAAAACAGGGCTCATCTTGGCCAACGCAGTGCAGAGCTAAAAAGGTCTGTGTGTGCTCGTTGGCCAGACTGGGGTGACCACTGGATCTAGATTATCCAGCCCATCACGCAGCCAGGCTGCTGATTGAAGATGCCCAAAGGAAAAAAAAAAAAAAAAGCGCTATGGAACTAAAAAGGTCCAAGCAGGGAACTAGTTCCGACTCCTACACTAGGCAGAAAAAAAAAACTTGACTGCCTATAGTAAAGAGGGGATTTATACCAGCTACAACTGCCCATAGGTCAGTGCTGTGTTCTTTTTCTGCCTCGTGTCCTACTCCTGTAGGTGGCGACATAACCCTATGGTCAAGCATAGAAAAGCTGTGTCCTTCAATGTACATAGGAGAAATTTGGTTGGTAACTATTCTGAGTGATTAATCAACTCAAGGATCAACAATATTAACTCGTTTATGGCCACTACTGTTGCTGTGCAAGAGTGGTGTAGTGAAGTAATAAAAACAAACCCATGACTACAATGGTAACTGCTGAATTGTTTTACTTTATTGCTAAAACCTAACAGTTTAGGGTAAGGTCACCCAGGCCTTGGACATAGCCACCTAATCACTTCTACGAGTCCAAAATTGATCTTGGTAGGCTACATGTAATGGCCTGAACAGAACATATACAGTGTACATGTACCTCTGTATGGAACCTCACTGGCATGTTGCACTTAAGTTAAAGAAGAAGGCCTGCTCCTGCTTAATGCTTTGTCAGGTGTGTGTAAACCAACAAAGACTGCAATAAAAACAGTCATTCCCCACTTGATCAAGCACATATACTGCAGTTTGAAAATTAGATTAATAGATTTACAAACAAGACCTATTCTCTTTGAAACATTGATACCTTGTAATGTCTGTAAGGGTTAATATCTTCCTGTGTAGAGTCCTGGGAATACAGAGGGCTGGGACATCTTTCTGGGGTATTTCTGTTACTAGTTCCATCTGTAGGGAACAAAATAGAAGGGATTTAGGTTATATACAGTAGACAAGTCCATGGATTTTCAAAAACCAGATAGCTGAGGGCTGTCTGCAGATCACTCCATACACTTGTCAGCTCTGACAAGAAAGGAGGCTGACAGACTATAAAAAAAAAAAAAAAAAGAGAAAAAAATAAATTAGGCTAGGTTAAAATTTTCAAGCCCCTACAGCTAAACCTTCTATTTTTGGTGAAGTGTGTTTTATAACAGAACCCAAAATAAGTATGTATGTATGTATGTATGTATGTAGTAATAATCCCAGACTAGGTAAAGTTGAGATCAGGGCTCTGTGGGGGCCAATCCATCACTTCCAGGACTCCTTGTTCTTTATGCTCAAGATACCTTTTAATGACATTATCTGTATGTTTGGGGTTGTTGTCCTGCTGCAGAATAAATATGGGGTCCATTATACACCTATCTTGATGGTATGGCATGATGGATAAGTATCTGCCTGTATTTCTCAGCACTGAGGACACCATTGATTCTGGTCACATCTCCAAACTCCATTTGCAGACATGCAGCCCCAAACTTGCAAAGGAACCTCCACCATGCTTCACTGTTGCTTGCAGACAGACACTCATTATTGTACCGCTCTCTAACCCTCTCCATGAACAAACTGTCTCCTGCTACAGCCAAATATTTCAAAATTTTGACTCATCAGCCCAGAACACTGGCTGCTATTTTTCTGCACCCCAGTTCCTATGTTTTCATGAATAGCCGATTTTCTAAGCTTTTTTGTATGTAAGAGATATGGATTTTTGGCTGTAATTCTTCCATGAAGACCACTTCTGGCCAGGCATCTCAGAACAGTAAATGGGTGTACCTGGGTCCCACTGGCTTTCACCAGTTCTGTGCTGATGACACTGCTGGACATCTTCAGATGCTGAAGAGATGTAAGCAGGATATGCCTTTCATCTGCTAAATGAAAGGCTAAGTTCATCTTTTGGGAAAAATTAATAAATGCAAATTTTTGCAGGAAAAAAAAAGAAAAAAAAAAAAAGTGTTTTATTATTTTTTCCCTCAGCAGCCTGCAAAGACTTGCAACCATTGTCAGTGGATCAGTAGGGCTTTCTGCCCCCCACCAAACACACACACAGTAGTGTCCTCTGACATGTTGAACGCAGGTGCAGTACTCTTCAGACCCCTGAAAAAAAAAAAAAAATGCTTTTTTTTTTTACCTGCAAAAATCTGTGCATTTATATTTTATTTCCTTTGAAAGATGAAGTTAGCCTTTAAAGCAGCAAACAAACCATCGCTGGGGTGCAAACTACACATTGGCATATTCTGACTGCATACCTTAAAGTCAAAGATTTTAGCTTCAAAGTGGAGTGCATCACAAAAGAACAAAATCATAAACCCAAATATTACACCGATATTGTCTTTATAAAAGCCCAGATGAAGGCAATCTATAATGCCCCAAAGCCTGATGGCTAACATTTCACAATTAACAATTAAAGTACTTTAATGCGCTAGACCAGTGGTTCTCAACCTTTCTAATGCCGCGACCCCTTAATACAGTTCCTCATGTTGTGGTGACCCCCAACCATAAAAATTATTTTCGTTGCTACTTCATAACTGTAATTTTGCAGTGGGATGAAATAGTGCCCCATCGTTGGTGTCAGTGGGGGGGGGGGGGGGAAATAGTGCCCCATCGTTGGTGTCAGTGGGGGGGGGGGGGTGCCCCATCGTTGGTGTCAGTGGGGGGGGAGGAATAGTGCCCCATCGTTGGTGTCAGTGGGGGGGGAGGAATAGTGCCCCATCGTTGGTGTCAGTGGGGGGGGAGGAATAGCGCCCCATCGTTGGTGTCAGTGGGGGGGGGGAGGAATAGCGCCCCATCGTTGGTGTCAGTGGGGGGGGAGGAATAGCGCCCCATCGTTGGTGTCAGTGGGGGGGGGAGGAATAGCGCCCATCGTTGGTGTCAGTGGGGGGGGAGGAATAGCGCCCCATCGTTGGTGTCAGTGGGGGGGGGGAGGAATAGCGCCCCATCGTTGGTGTCAGTGGGGGGGGAGGAATAGCGCCCCATCGTTGGTGTCAGTGGGGGGGGAGGAATAGCGCCCCATCGTTGGTGTCAGTGGGGGGGGAGGAATAGCGCCCCATCGTTGGTGTCAGTGGGGGGGGAGGAATAGCGCCCCATCGTTGGTGTCAGTGGGGGGGGAGGAATAGCGCCCCATCGTTGGTGTCAGTGGGGGGGGGAGGAATAGCGCCCCATCGTTGGTGTCAGTGGGGGGGGAGGAATAGCGCCCCATCGTTGGTGTCAGTGGGGGGGGAGGAATAGTGCCCCATCGTTGGTGTCAGTGGGGGGGGAGGAATAGTGCCCCATCGTTGGTGTCAGTGGGGGGGGAGGAATAGTGCCCCATCGTTGGTGTCAGTGGGGGGGGAGGAATAGTGCCCCATCGTTGGTGTCAGTGGGGGGGGAGGAATAGTGCCCCATCGTTGGTGTCAGTGGGGGGGGAGGAATAGTGCCCCATCGTTGGTGTCAGTGGGGGGGAGGAATAGTGCCCCATCGTTGGTGTCAGTGGGGGGGGGAGGAATAGTGCCCCATCGTTGGTGTCAGTGGGGGGGAGGAATAGTGCCCCATCGTTGGTGTCAGTGGGGGGGGAGGAATAGTGCCCCATCGTTGGTGTCAGTGGGGGGGAGGAATAGTGCCCCATCGTTGGTGTCAGTGGGGGGGGGAGGAATAGTGCCCCATCGTTGGTGTCAGTGGGGGGGAGGAATAGTGCCCCATCGTTGGTGTCAGTGGGGGGGAGGAATAGTGCCCCATCGTTGGTGTCAGTGGGGGGGAGGAATAGTGCCCCATCGTTGGTGTCAGTGGGGGGGAGGAATAGTGCCCCATCGTTGGTGTCAGTGGGGGGGAGGAATAGTGCCCCATCGTTGGTGTCAGTGGGGGGGAGGAATAGTGCCCCATCGTTGGTGTCAGTGGGGGGGGAGGAATAGTGCCCCATCGTTGGTGTCAGTGGGGGGGAGGAATAGTGCCCCATCGTTGGTGTCAGTGGGGGGGAGGAATAGTGCCCCATCGTTGGTGTCAGTGGGGGGGAGGAATAGTGCCCCATCGTTGGTGTCAGTGGGGGGGAGGAATAGTGCCCCATCGTTGGTGTCAGTGGGGGGGAGGAATAGTGCCCCATCGTTGGTGTCAGTGGGGGGGAGGAATAGTGCCCCATCGTTGGTGTCAGTGGGGGGGAGGAATAGTGCCCCATCGTTGGTGTCAGTGGGGGGGAGGAATAGTGCCCCATCGTTGGTGTCAGTGGGGGGGAGGAATAGTGCCCCATCGTTGGTGTCAGTGGGGGGGAGGAATAGTGCCCCATCGTTGGTGTCAGTGGGGGGGAGGAATAGTGCCCCATCGTTGGTGTCAGTGGGGGGGAGGAATAGTGCCCCATCGTGGGTGTCAGTGGGGGGGAGGAATAGTGCCCCATCGTGGGTGTCAGTGGGGGGGAGGAATAGTGCCCCATCGTGGGTGTCAGTGGGGGGGAGGAATAGTGCCCCATCGTGGGTGTCAGTGGGGGGGAGGAATAGTGCCCCATCGTGGGTGTCAGTGGGGGGGAGGAATAGTGCCCCATCGTGGGTGTCAGTGGGGGGGAGGAATAGTGCCCCATCGTGGGTGTCAGTGGGGGGAAGGAATAGTGCCCCATCGTGGGTGTCAGTGGGGGGGAGGAATAGTGCCCCATCGTTGGTGTCAGTGGGGGGGAGGAATAGTGCCCCATCGTTGGTGTCAGTGGGGGGGAGGAATAGTGCCCCATCGTTGGTGTCAGTGGGGGGAGGAATAGTGCCCCATCGTTGGTGTCAGTGGGGGGGAGGAATAGTGCCCCATCGTTGGTGTCAGTGGGGGGGAGGAATAGTGCCCCATCGTTGGTGTCAGTGGGGGGGAGGAATAGTGCCCCATCGTTGGTGTCAGTGGGGGGGAGGAATAGTGCCCCATCGTTGGTGTCAGTGGGGGGGGAGGAATAGTGCCCCATCGTTGGTGTCAGTGGGGGGGAGGAATAGTGCCCCATCGTTGGTGTCAGTGGGGGGGAGGAATAGTGCCCCATCGTTGGTGTCAGTGGGGGGAGGAATAGTGCCCCATCGTTGGTATTAGTGACACAAATGATGGGGCACTATCCCTCCCACTGACACCAATGATACTTACCTTGCTGACTCCTGCTCCAGCCTGGGCTCGCTCTCTCCCTCTCCCATCTACAGCCTGCATACCTGGCTGCAGCAGCAAAATTTGCACTTACCTGTCAGCTGTCTTCCTTCTCTGGCCTCTCTTCACTCGCTCCTGCAGCTCCCTCGATCTTCTTTGATCTACGCGCGCTGCCGCTCGGCTCCTCCTCTCCAAGCTCCACCTCCTCGCCGGTGATTGGCCGCCTGTTTGCCTCTCCTGAGCTACAGTTCCGGTGGCCAATCAGCGGCGAGGAGGCGGAGCTGTTGAGTGATCCCGGAGGTGTGGCCAGGTGACAGGGGCAGCATATCATCCCGCCCACACATCGCCTGAGACAGGAGCGGTGTCTCGGTTCCTAAGACCATCGGAAATATGTGTTTTCCGATGGTCTTAGGCGACCCCTGTGAAACGGTCGTTTCGACGACCCCCAAAGGGGTCGCGACCCCCAGGTTGAGAAACCGCTGTGCTAGACATTATCCACAATGGTCCCATAAAAAGGATGAGTTTCAAGCAAAAGCATCAGCCATGAAACCTGTGATGATATGCAAAAAAAAAAAAAAAAATAAAATAAAAATAATAATAATAATAATAAATATATATATATATAAAAAAAAAATATAAATTACATATCACTATCTAGGCCACAGGTAACAAATAGTTTCACGTGTTTCATGGCATTTGTAATTGGAGCACTGGTAAAAAAGTACATTAGATGCACTGTTTTATTTTTTTGCACCAGATGTAGAGGCACACTGCAATGGCCAGAGGGAACTTTTAATATTTTACCACTTGTTGATGACCAACTCACAAGATTTTGATATCAGCAAGTAACTACAGTTACCACAATCTGACATGCAGACAATTTTACTTGGTTACTTACATGCGGTAATAACTATAGGATCTTCTTCCTGCTTAATGTGTGTATCTCCCTCCTGCTTAATATTCACAATGCACTGATCTTCAATCTGAACACAAATAAACAAAAAATTTAACATTATACGGTTTTTATATACAGTGCTCAGCATAAATGAGTACACCCCAACAGATTTGTCAGAAAACCTTTCCTTTCAGAATCAACATTTTCCTATGGGACACTAAACTACAAAACACTCCCACAAATGCGGGAGTTGCATTGGTTGCAAACAAGATTTGTTAATTTGCACACACAACAGTATTTTTACTAACAAAATTAATTCATGACCATGTTACAAAAATAAAATACAGCCCAATGAAAGTCTTAGGAGCAAAAGCTAAAATTTTAGACGAGTCTAATTATTCATTAAAACGGGTGTCCAGCAGACAGTTGTTTATAAAAAGGGCATTACTTAAAGAAAACCCCTTACCATTTTATGCTGTCAGCAATGGCACCACATGAAAGAGAAATGTCACAACGCCTCAGAAAGAAAATAATTTATTTACTCAAGAAAGGTGAAGGCTACAAGAAGATCAGCAAAGCTTTACTTATCAGTCAGAATACTGTAGCAAAAGTAATACAAAAAATTAGCAAAGATGGAACTGCAACCATGTCACAAAGATGTCCAGGCCATCCACAGAAGTTAACACCTCGACAGGAGGGTGTAGATGAGAAGGGTTGGAAAAAGAGAAAAAAAAAAAAAAAAAAAATCACCATGCAAGTTCACTGCAGTTAGTTACAGAAGTAGAAAGCCACACTGGGGTGATTATTTCCCATGACACAATACGGCGTATACTGCAGAGGAATGGTATGCATGGGTGTCATACACAAAGGAAGCCTCTCCTAAAGCCCATGCACAAAAAAGCCTGCCTAGAATTTGCCAGAGCCCATGCTGAAAAAGAAGATGACTACTGGGACTCTGTACACTGGAGTGATGGGATCAAGATAAATGTTTTAGGAACTGATGGCTTCAAAACTGTATCATGTCGCACAGGTGAGGAGTGCAAAGAAAAATGCATGGTGCCTACAGTAAAACATGGTAGTGGCAGTGTTCTTCTATGGGGTTGCAGGAGTGCTGGTGTTTGGGAGCTGCATTTCATTGATGGTATCATAAATTCACAGATGTACTGCTCTATACTGAAAGAGAAGATGCTATCATCACTCCGTGCCCTTGGTGGTTGTGCACTTTTCCAACATGACAATGATCCAAAACACACATCTAAAAAGGTAACTGCTACATTTCTGAAGAAGAACAGAGTGAAACTGATTTAGTGGCCAAGTAAGTCTCCTGATATGAACCCAAACGAACACCAATGGATAAATTTGAAGAGACAAGTTGAGCATCACTCTCCATCCAGCATACAGGCTCTAAAAGAGTTTGTTCTTGAAGAATGGAAAAAGACAGATGTTGCAGTATGTCGCCAACTTGTTCATTCCATGCCTAAGAAGACTTGGCGCTGTACTTACAAATCATGGTGGTCATACAAAATACTAGATGTAGTAGTTTTTGTTGTGGGGTGTATGCATTTTTGCATTAACCAATTTGATTATAACGGATGATTTTGTAATCTAAGTTATATTATTAACCTTACTTTCATGTAATGAGCTAAACAAATGGTCGATAAAACTCAGTTTTGTCAAAAGTTTGAAAATTGTCTCTTACTCTTCAAGGGAGGTGTACTCATTTATGCTGAGCAATATTTTATTAAAAAAATAAAATTATATACAGTGAAGGAAATAAGTATATGATCCCCTGCCAATTTTGAATGTTTGCCCACTCAAAAATAAATAATCAGTCTAAAAATCGAATGGTAGGTGTATTGTAACACAGAGACAGAATAGCAACAAAAAATTCAAAAGAAACACATGTGTAACAAATTATTCACTGTTTTGTATGTTCATGAAGGAAATACGTATTTGATCCCCTATCATTCAGCAGGATTTCTGGCTACCAGATGTCTTTCATACAGGTAACAAGCTGAGATTAGAAGCAGTTTCTTAAAGGGAGTGCTGCTAGTCTCATTTTGTTACCTGTATAAAAGACACCTGTCCACAGGAGCAATCAAACAATCAAATTTAAAACTCTCCACCATGGCAAAGACCAAAGAGTTGTCCAAGGATGTCAGGGACAAGATTGGGTCGTGGATGGGTGATCCAGCATGACCATGACACAACACATGGCAAAGGCAATAAAAGAGTGGCTCAAGAAGAAGCACATTAAGGTCCTGGAGTGGCCTAGCCAGTCTCCAGACCTTAATCTGACTGAAAATCTGTGGAGGGAGCTGAAAGTTCGAATTGCCAAACGTCAGCCACCAAACCTTAATGACTTGGAGAGGATCTGCCAAGAGGAGCGGGCCAAAATCCCTCCTGAGATGTGTGCAAACCTGGTGGCCAACTACAGGAAACGTCTGACCTCTGATTGCCAACAAGGGATTTTCTACCAAGTACTAAGTCATGGTTTGTATGTCTGTGTGTGTATATATATATATATATATATATATATATATATATATATATATATATATATATATATATATATATATCTATATACACACACACACACACACACACACACACACACACACACACACACACACATATATACACACACACACACGTGTGAGTACACCCCTCACATTTTTGGAAATATTTAATTCTCTTTTCATGTGACAACACTGAATAAATGACACTTTGCTACAATGTAAAGTAGTGAGAGTGTACAGCTTGTATAACAGTGCAAATTTGCGGTCCCCTCAAAATAACTCAACACAGCCATTAATGTCTAAACTGTTGGCAACAAAAGTGAGTACACCCAAGGGAAAATGTCCAAATTGGGCCCAATTAGTAATTTTCCCTCCCTAGTGTCATGTGACTCGTTAGTGTTACAAGGTCTCAGTTGTGAATGGGGAGCAGGTGTGTTAAATTTGGTGTTATTGCTCTCACTCTCTCATACTGGTCACTGGAAGTTCAACATGGCACCTCATGGCAAAGAATTCTCTGAGGATCTGAAAAAAAGAATTGTTGCTCTACATAATGATGGCCTAAGCTGTAAGAAGATTGCCAAGACCCCAAAACTGAGCTACAGCACGGTGGCCAAGACCATACAATTGGTTCAACAGGACAGGTTCCACTCAGAACAGCCCTCGCCATGGTCGCCAAGTAGTTGATTGCATGTGCTCAGCGTCATATCCAGAGGTTGTCTTTGGGAAATAGACGTATGAGTGCTGCCAGCATTGCTGTAGAGGTTGTAGGGGTGGGGGGGTGGTCAGCCTGTCAGTGCTCAGACCATACGCCGCACACTGCATCAAATTGGTCTGCAGGGCTGTCATCTCAGAAGGAAGCCTCTTCTAAAGATGATGCACAAGAAAGCCCGCAAACAGTTTGCTGAAGACAAGCAGACTAATGACATGGAATACTGGAACCATGTCCTGTGGTCTGATGAGACCAAGATAAACTTATTTGGTTCAGATAGTGTCAAGCATGTGTCGCGGCAACCAAGTGAGGAGTACAAAGACAAGTGTGTGTTGCCTACAGTCAAGCATGGTGGTGGAAGTGTCATGGTCTGGGGCTGCATGAGTGCTGCCGGCACTGGGGAGCTACAGTTGATTGAGGGAACCATGAATGCCAACATGTACTATGACATACTGAAGCAGAGCATGATCCCCTCCCTTCAGAGACTGGGCTGCAGGGCAGTATTCCAATATGATAACGACCCCAAACACACCTCCAAGACGACCACTGCCTTGATAAAGAAGCTGATGGCAAAGGTGATGGACTGGCCAAGCATGTCTCCAGACCTAAACACTATTGAGCATCTGTGGGGCTTCCTCAAAAACGGAAGGTGGAGGAGAGCAAGTTCTCTAACATTCACCAGCTCCGTGATGTCGTCATGGAGGTGTGGAAGAGGACTCCAGTGGCAACCTGTGAAGTCCTGGTGAACTCCATGCCCAAGAGGGTTAAGGCAGTGCTGGAAAATAATGGTGACAACACAAAATATTGATACTTTGAGCCCAAGTTGGACATTTTCAGATAGGGTTGTACTCACGTTTGTTACCAGTGGTTTAGACATTGACATTGGCTGTGTGTTGAGTTATTTGAGGGGCAAATTTACACTGTTATACAAGCTGTACACTCACTACTTTACATTGTAGCAAAGTGTCATTTACTCAGTGCTGTCACAAGAAAAGATATAATAAAAGATTTGCAAACATGTGAGGTGTGTTCACTTCTGTGAGATACTGTGTGTATTATACAAAAACTTATTTTCCATTCAGAAGGAATACAGACAATATGTTCAAACACAGCAGAAAAATTATTCATGGGTATTCAAGGGTAAATACAGTAAGAACTTCAAATAATGTACTTATAGATATTCCAATTCACAACCATATGGGGTTCATCAAGTGCATGATTTTTAAAGAACTAGGTAAGAAAGGGGTTCTCTAGTGAAAATGGACCTAGTTAGTGTGGAGGAGAGATGGGGCATCAGGGAGGAAGAAGGTGGAATGCAAGGCAATGAGGGGGGCATGGCCTAGATGGCAGGGACAGTGGAGAGAGGGATAGGAGTTATATCCAGGGGATATGTGCAACCTACCAAGGAGGAACCCCTTTATACACTCTGAGCTTAAGGGCAGTTGCCCTGCAAGTGAAGGCTTAATGACAGGTATAGGCAGACAGGACAAGCGTCACCTCCAAAAATGTCTGATCAGTCTGGTAAAGTACTGTAGTACTGATAAAACAAAACGAAGCAGAAAAGAAGAATTGAAAAGTGCTAACCGGATGAGGAGGGAGCCTTGTGGGGCTCCGTCCTTTAGGTGCTCAAGCTGTGTGTACATGGGTGAACTGCTTTGCTAAAAAAAAACCTTGCATTTTCATTCCCAGCATTTCCATCCCCTTGGATGTGGAAAGAACTCTGTTGACACTTCAGGCTTACTCTGGAGGTGGCAGAGGAGTTCTTTCTGGGGACCGCCCTGAAGAGTTAAAAGGGCACAGAGGAGGCAAACTGTATCTCCTTACCACAAGAGAAGACCAATGCTTTCTAAATGTAATATA